CATCATGTATTCTTCAGTAGAACATTAATTATGTCTGTTTCCCCAGTTCTCTGAGCTCTTGCTCAGTGCTTATGGTCTTAGTATCATTGTTTTAGCCCTTGAGTACCGTCTCCCGGTACAAGAAGACGCATGCTACTTGCTGAAGTTTAGAAGGTGATGTGTCCGCTCTCTGTTCTGATGTTTTAGGTAACAACAAACTTGGAGGACAGGATTTTAATCAGAGGTTGATGCAGCATTTATATGATCAGCTCCATCAAAAATACGGTTCTCTGCCATCAAGAAAAGAAGAAATACATCGCCTCAGACAAGCTGTGGAAGCAGTTAAATTAAATTTGACAGTTCATGAGGCATCTACGTTACGGGTGTTGTTGACTATGCCAGAAACAAAGCTTACAAAAGAACTTCCGGAAGGTGAGGTAAAACAAAATGCTGTTAAAGGCAAGCCTTCACAGAAAACAAAAGACCTGGAAGATCTTGGAGATGCTTCAAATGGAGAAAACAACTTTGTCAAAGTTGTGTTTGAAAGAGAAATCTCTAGGAAATTATTTGAAGTACTGAATGAGGACCTTTTTGAGAAGATTCTCATGCCCATTGAACAAGTGTTGAAGGAAGGCCACCTACACAAAGCCGAAGTGGATGAAATTGTGTTAGTTGGGGGCTCCACCCGGATTCCTAAAATACGCAAAGTTATTCGGGATTTCTTTGGGAAGGAACCTAACACCTCTGTAGACCCTGATCTAGCAGTTGTAATGGGTGTAGCTATCCAAGCAGGAATTGTTGGTGGGTCCTGGCCTCTCCAAGTCAGTGCTATAGAAATTCCTAATAAGCATTTACGGAAGACTAATTTTAATTAAGATAAACTCCTTCCCGTTGCATTCCATCTCTCCAAAAGCATACCCTGATGGTGCGTACTTGTCTGACTGGCAGCGGAGCCTAATCTTAGCCATATAATACTCTTTTTTTTTTTTTTTAATCACTTCCAGTTCATGCTGCTGGATTAAAACTAGATGTTACTTTAGAGGTACGTGTGGTTTTCAAAATTCTGAAGTGTCCTGTGTTCACTTGTGCACTGGATATAGGATGAAAATGCTAATGGTGACACACCCACATCTTCTTGCTAAATTTTATTAGCAAATCCTGAACAGGTGTTTGTTGAAAACTTAAATTTAAAGAGAATGTGACCAAAGCTTAGAAGTAACATGGCATTATGCCGTAGGTGTTCCCACATCAAATATATTTACCTTGGAAGAATGTGAAGCAGTGTTAATGCACATAGCACTAGTAGTCTTGAGCTTAAATCTATTTATTAAATTGAGTCATTTGAGCATTTAGGAACCTTTCTAAAAGGCATGTTGCAGCTTGAATGAGACTTAGGCATTCAGTTGATTCTTCTGCTGTTTATAACAGCATAATGGTATTACTGAAATCAAGGGGCAAGTTATTGCCTGATGTTTGTCACGCCATGCTAAGAAATTTAGCTCTTGCTAATGTGCAGTTACTTAGTGTGTATCCAAGGGCTAACTTTGTGATCTGTTCGTGATGGTTAACAAATAGGTGCTGCTGTCGTACCACTTACGTTCTCAACAGGGAACAAGTGCATATCATCAACTCTTTATACCTCTCCCCATCTTATTTGAAAATCATGGAATTTTATTTTTAGTCATCTTAAAGTTACATCTGTATATATTCCCTTAAATTTGACCAACATGAATTTTATTGTTGCACACTTCCTGATATGTGACGTCTTTCCCCTTGAGTACCTCCCAGCTGTGCTGTTGTCAGAGAGAAAGTGTGGGGCAGAAGGGATGGTGTGGATGAAATCTAGTTCCTTTAAGTGTAAATTCATCCAGTTTTATACTTTGGATAGATTGTATCTCTGATTTAAGTTTTGTCATATCCCCACTCTAAACTGAAGGTAGATTAGAGATTGTAGCTGTTCTTTTGGGAAGGAAGCAGAGCCTATAACTCAGGATTTTAGGTAGCAGCAAATACTTTGCCACCCACCTATCTAGCAAACTCGTGGAAGAAAACAAAGTTGATATAAAAACTTGGTGACAGTTCTGCTTTTTATGGAGAGTTAATACTGAAAGGGCCAGATGAATTTATGTTTAGAATTCTGCAGTGAAAACGCTTCATTCAGATAAGGCTTGTCTCTTCATCCATCAACACAGCCTTAATCAGGTAAGGTCTAGTAACAGGTGATCTAAGCATTTTTTAACGCTTCAAAAATAATTGTGTTAAGTGTGCCAAGATATAAACTGTGGGGCTTATAGATCTACAGCTTAACTATAACCATTTAAAAATAGGTTTATTGTTCTCCTGGCAGTAGACCTGATCTACAGCACTGCCTTCTCAATTATGCGGATGCAACTGTTTGAATAGCTGTACTCTAAACATATGTTTGAAGTAATACTATTAAAAACCTCTTAAATTGAATCTTAGTTGCATGCAACAATTCCTTCAGTATTATTTAAATTCACAGAAGACTCACAATATTGCTGACATCTGTTTAACTTCACTGAGTTGAAAACCAAAGTGAATTCTTGAGGATTTTTTTCTTTCATTCTATCTATTTGAGAATGACCCTGCCTTTTACATCTGTATGGGACATCACAGTAATGTCATAATGTATTCAAAAGAAAATTCATACAGTTATTAAAGAAAGTGGGTGCTAAGGGACGGTGAGCATAACTAAAACTCCTGAGTTGAAGTCTCTTCAGTGAAATCATGGATGAATGCCAATATACAGTACAGTTCTTACATGCAGTTGCTGTTTGGGGCCTTTGCGTTGCAGCCATACATGTGTATATACATAATTCAGCATATATTCCAAAATATTTGGAGTCATTGTGGCCTTTTTTCTATCCTGCTAAAAAATCATGTCAAAGTGTACTGGAGTTCTAGTAGGTGTTCAGTAATTTTGTTGTTCTTTATGCAGCTGTTCATTTTATACAGTGCATTGAAACATTGCAATTGAGCTAAAATTAAAAGATTTTTGCAATTTCTGGACACGTTATGGAAAAGTGTGGGAGTAACTTCAAACTGTTAAGCTCTTACATGCAAATAAATTAAGTAATTTTTTTCTTTAGCATAATCCTTTAGTATGGAGGAGTTTAATAATTAAAAGCAACCTTTGGTGTTAATCTGGGAAGGGGATGTTGTTTACTTGTGAAAATTTCACACAAGGGTATTTATTTGTTCAGATTTCAATAGACTTTTTTTTAGTAAATAAGTTACTGTACATTGGATATCTCACAATGCGTCTTTATTTATTAGATAACTGTCTTCTGAATTCTGTGGTCAAGTTATTTATTTGATCTTAGTACTGTATTCTGGCACAAACCATCACATTTTAGATAAGTAGAACACTGTACTAAACGGACACTTCCAGGTATGTACACATATTGCTTAGCAAAAGTCTCTGTTTAAACAACTCGGTATTTGAAGGCTGAAATTTTTCTACAAACTGTCCTTGAAGTCTGAATATGGTTGCCTGTGGTGTTAGACGTGTAACAAATCTATATAGCTAGAAGCTTGTGTTGTGAGTTGAAATTCTGAAAGTGCAAGATGCCTCACTAATTGTATCTTCCTGTTTCTACGTGCAGATGATGAAATGCATTTTATAAGTAACCTTTTAAAATGTTTTTATTAAAAGCATTTTCTGTCCTTTCAATCTGTTGTCTCAATTTATCGGGGAAGTACTTTAACAGCACTATTTCTTTATTTCTTCCTTGAATTCCTTTGGAGCTTAGAGGATAAGATTATAATCTTCCCCTTTGTCAAGGGGTTTCTACAGCCTGGAGTGACAGATCATTTCTAGGAAGAGATGCAGTAAATATTAGGAACTGGGGTGGGAAGGAAAAATCTCTGGTTCCTGAAGCTACAATTTTGGGTGGATGAACAGAACTGAGAAAAAAAACATTGCATGTTGGTACAAGGAAAAGCAAGGAGTGACTGACTGGGAGGGATGCAGAAATGCTACTAAGTCACAAAACCCTAATCGAAGGTAAAGAGGGGGCCAAGCAGTGATGATGACCTTGCTCCTGTGGGAGTGGCAGCAGCTCCCACCACTCTTACTCTCGTGCTCCTTGTATCTTGCCTCCCTGATCACAGGACACCGGGCAGGAACAGACCTTCCCTGTGTTGGTCAGCAGCTGCAGGCTGGACCCAGGGAATGTCCACCAGAGCCACGTGCTCCTTCTTCATTTGTTAATCTCTGTCTTTGACATCCGACTTGCAGTGACAGAAGAGATTGCAGACCCTGGGTGATGCTCCTGTTGCAAATCAACTTTTCCTGTCTACCCTAAAGCTGTTTTCTCTCAGACTTAACAATTATTCTTTCTGCAGCTTTCTCCAAATACCAGTCCACCAGTAAGTATAGAAATCTCCCCACCTAAGTAAAATTACCACACACTGATGCAAGCCCTCAGACTATTTTCTGTGCACCTTGTAAAAGGAGTTGGTCTCTGAGTGCTGAAGTTTTTACCTATGCTAGCATAAAGCCTAAAATATGCTTACCTATTAACAAATAGCACCCACTTTCGTCATTTCCAGTTCCCCCTCTGATTCTTCTAGGAAAGGATGGGTTTGGTGGGAGGTATGAAGGTGGATAAGAGATGAGGACCCAAGAAGAGCCTGCCCAGGGCACTTTAAATGTTGTGGTGAAAGAAGTTAAATATTTGGATGGAGGGTTCTGCTCTATGGGAAAGCCACTGCTGGCCTCAGGTGGAGAAAAGAGGAAAAGAAGATGAAAAGCAAACAGCTGTTCTCTCTCCTGAGAAACTCTGTCTCTCTAGAACTGTCAGAAAACTGTAATTACCTGGTTTGGGTTGTTCCTAATGGGTTCTAAAATCATTATATTCTCCTAATAGCTTTCTGCAAGCTGTAGTATATTTAGTTGTGTTTTGTAGCCAATTAAACTAAGTAGTACTGTCTTAAGTATAGGAAGACTTTGTTTTATTTTGCTGTCAGGAAAGCATAGAGAGTTTTTTTGTTTTTTCTACCTTCACTGTAGTAGAACCACATCTTTGACGAAATCTCTTCAGAAAGTCTCCCTCCTTTCTCCTCCCCTTTTGAAGTAAGCAAACCCAAGTTTGCAGTTGGTGGTGTGAGTCAGCACCAGCCGACACCAGGGATGCCCACAGACCCAGGGCTGAAATGCAAAGAGTATGTTTATGGTACCTGGGCAGCCACAGGGGATCCCCAAAGCAGCACCTGGGCAGAGGTGCACACCCAGGGATGAAGGCACCGCTAAACTCAGTCCATGCTAGAGGATCACAGGCCTACTATTGACGTCTATTTATGTATCAAGGGTTCACACAGGCATAGTTTACCACTGTGCTTTGATCTCTGTCCCAAGGCAGGGAGCTCAAGCATGTCCGACAGGGTGCCTCTGAGTCTCCCAAACACCCGTGTTACCTGTACGTGGATGCGCTGCTTGTCGAACACACAGGATTAACAGCAGTAGGTACGACACATGCTTTCCTACTCTCCAGGCTTTGTCATCACAGCTGCAAAGTTCACTTGAGCATGTTTTCAATCCTCCTCACCAGTTTGCAGGTCTCATCCCATCCTCTTCTGCTTTTAACCCATTCCTCCCCACTGTTGCTATTCAATTTGAAGAGTCTTAGGATGTGTAGTAAAAAAGGCACTACTCACATGGCCTATGGAAGCACAGGCATGGTTAACCGACACTTCAAGTATGCATAACCTTTTGTGCAGCTTTAAGTAGTATTGAGGTTTGCATTAAGATCCACTAGCAAATAGCTGCGCCTGACCCCATTTTCATGGGATTCTTTCACAACCTGGTTTTGTAATGCTCAATTATGTTTACATGTTTTTCAGTTGTTTGAAATTGTTTTTCATTTTATTCAAAATCACAGTCAACATAAAAATCAACTTAAAATGGCAAGTTTGTTGCCTCAAGAATTACCAAAGTATAAGCAAATGAAATTATTACCAAAATTATAGCAAAATTATTTGCTATTACTGAAGCAAATAAATATATATGTCCTAAAAACCAGCAACAAGGGAGATTTGCCTCTCTGTTCATACAATAAGCAAACCTGGGTTTTTATATATTCACAATCACATAAAGATGTATTAACTAAATGGGGATAACATTCAAGCAATTTAATTAAGCACTAATTCTTTATTAAAACACTGTGAACAGCAAGATTTATTTTAAATCCACCTTTACTAGTACAGTATTTAAAATACACCATGAAAATTACTGCTGCATTATATTGGTCCAGTGCCAAGATGATGAAAAATGTGATTTGTATAAAAACAAAATTAATTTCAGAAACCTGATCAATATATACAGATTGTAGTTGTAGTAAAAAGCAATGTTGTTAAGAGCTTACAAGGAAGTTAATTATTTCATAACATTAGGAATGCCACATATCTTTTGAGTGTTTACCAGTATAAGGAATTCCTATCTTGATTAGTTTTCTTTATCTTGTTACTCCAGCCTCTGCAACCATTTCAGAAAAGGCACCTTTCCATTGTAACAAATTATTTGGTGTATCATATTCTAGAATCCTTCCTGCATCCAGAACAAGCACTCTACAATATGAAAGCATGAAGATTACAGGAGGAAAAAAAAAGTGCTATTCAACCATATTTTCCAGCCCTACAACAAATACATAATAACTGAAACTCTCATTTGCAAGAAATATCATTGCACTAGGTAACTCATTGGTTTCTCAAGCTAGGAATGCCTATATTAAGAAATCCTTTTGAAAAGAGAATGTTTGCTTGTTTGGTTTAAAGAAAAGAAAAAAAAAGTTGGTAAAAATTCTACAGTGTACTCCCTTTTTTTTCTAGAAGCGGTCACAACAGTAGCTTATACATGCATTTAATTAGGAAAAAAATCATTCTGTAATTACAGTGGGAAAGCAGAACACAATCAATATTTAATTAATATTGACAGCAAGTCTTTTGTGATACCTTAGTATCAGTACAATCCAAGGTAAAAAGTGCTAGAGTAAAATTTTGTAGGTCTGAAGACATGTAATTAAAAAAAGACATCTCTTTAAAATGGCATATCAAAACTTACCTCTCTGAATCCATGACTGTGTGTAACCTGTGTGCTATAGTTAATATTGTGCAGTTATAAAATTCCCTTTTGATAGTGGACTGCACCAAGTTATCTGTTTCCATGTCAACAGAAGCTGTTGCTTCATCGAGGACCAGGATCTTTGCCTTTCGTAGCAAAACACGAGCCAGACAGACCAGCTGTCTCTGGCCAATACTGTTAAAAATACAGTTGAGAAGGTCAGGTCAGGCACTTTGAGGAAGGGGAGATGGATGTTTCCTCACTACTTAGCCCCAGACATTGGAGCAGATACCGTTGACATAAAGCTGGAACTAGCATGGAGCCTATCTGTTCTATCGTCCTCAACAGCACTGGGAAACATTTTCTCCTTCTTTTAGAAGTTTTGGGAAGTAGTAGCTCAGGTGCAACTTTTAAAGCTAGTCTTGCCCTAAACTTTGATACTCGTATCATAATGGGTACTTTGAATAGGCTGGATTGAATGCTGAACCACTTAATGTTCAAAGTAGAAGTTTGGATATTGCTGTATGTTACTGCTGGTGTGTGCCTTCTAGATACTTCTAGATATGCCTTCTAGATATATATAAAAAAAAAAAGACCCATCCTAAAAAATCAAGTTAATTGTCAATACGTTCCATTTAAATTATGGCCTGCCCCTTTGCTGCTGGAAGTTTCACTATTTGTCTCAGAGTCCTTCTATTTCTAGTATCACTTCTTGTAGATATCTGTGGTGGGATCTACAACGAAAAAAATAGTTGCTTTGCCTAAGCAAATAAAGCAAATGGTCAAGCTCTCTGCAGTTTTGCCTTTTTTTTTTTTTTTTAATGAATGGATCCTTTTCTATCTAAATCTAACTTGGTGGTGTACGAAGCCCCTGTCCCTTTGCACCCATTCATATAATTGAGCTGAAGTCTACCTCCTCTGCTTCCCTTCAGCACAGGCCCTAAGACTTCATACAGTTGTGACCAGCTGGTCGCCTCAAGAAAACCCTTACTACTTGAACAATTCTACACTAAAATTACTAAATTGTAATTTTTGAACTGATTATTTCTGTAGTAAATTGTCCATAAGGAAAACAGAGTTTTACAAGATCAGTAAATAACTACAACTGCACTTGCTTATTTATGTACCTGAGGTTTTCACCACCTTCTGAAATCTCATGAAGGAGCTTCTTTGGGAGTGACTCAACAAAACCCTTTAAGTGACACAGTTCCAGTGCCTCCCACAGTTCAATATCAGAGTGTTTTCCAAGTGGATCCAAGTTTGACTGCAGTGTCCCAGAAAACAAGACGGGGTCCTAAATAATAGCAAAATTTGAGTGCACTGTTCCAACAAAAACCTGAAAGAGCGTGCTGCATCCTGACATAAACATTGGAAACTGGCACAAATAACTTCGGAAAAGAAGCTTTGTGAGGGAAACTGTAATGTTTTGAAGTTGATGGATGGAAATACAAAATCATGTTGGGTCTCAGCATGCTAAGTTCTATATTAATATAAAGAGCAACAGATTTCATATGCATACTCTGTGTTACTCATTCAATGGCTAACTGAGGACCTGCTCAGCATCTGGCAACTGAAACAATGTATGAAAATATTAGCATTGTCGGGTTTTTTAAGCACTGGATACTACATTCAGGAACACAATTAAGAAAAATGTGAAGGCCATGTTTTTAAGTGAAATTTTCTTAGTTTCCCTGTAGAAAAGGTCAAGTATTTAGCAATGAGAACAAAAGCAATTATTGCATGAATGTACATTCACTAGTTTCTGTGCACTGAATATGTCAGGGGATGTCTGGAAACATAAATGTAGACTAGAAGATGCCAGGAAAGCACAACTGAGGGTATGAGTTACCTCCAGTACTCCATAATTACTGAATGCTTGTCTCTACAGTCTTAATCAAGTCTGAAACTTTTCTGGGTGCACACAAAAGCCTTTTTCTTAAAAGGCAAAGATAAGTACTATATATATACACATATATATATATAAGTACATGCGAATAGCTGCACAGATTTATAAACAGAACTGGTGTTTTTAGAGGCAGCAAACAGACATCTCGAGTTAAGTGCAGTCGGTGCATTGTAACCCAGTAGGTAGATTGCAAAAGGCCAACAACATTCACTAGCAAGTTACATGCAAGCAGAACAGCGATACCTTTGAGAGCTAAGTGGCCAAAAAGAACTGTTACAGTGGTATGAGATCTTGTGCATGTTCTTCAAACAAGCAAACAAAATACAACCTGAAATATCTTGTTAGTAAAAAAATAGTAATTATTATTATTATTAATAATAATAATAAAAGCCACAGTCATCTCTAAAACATGTCCTACCTGTGGAATAATGTTAAGATTTCTGCGTAGGTCATGGAGTCCAATAGTTGAGATATCAATTCCATCTATAATTATTTTGCCTCCAGATCCCTCTAGAATTCTAAATAAGGAATTTGTGAGAGTTGATTTACCAGCTCCTGTTCTTCCAACAATTCCAATCTGAAATGGAAAGATTTCTGATAAAGATTATAACTTTCTATGCTGTGCATTGTATATGAAAAGTGACTAGCAAATTCAGTTTTAACTTCCAGTACAAAACTTCAGTTTCTTTTACCAACAAGCAATATTCTAAGTGGATAAAACTGTTTAAAACTCACTTCCGGAACACCTGACTCACAATCCAGCCTATGCCTGGTTCACTGGGAAGTGTTTCCTTATCCCTCACCTTCTGTTTAGCATTCCTCAGCTCAAACCAATGACTCAAAACTACGTCATTCCCAAACCAGAGCTGATTAGCACCAATCTGGCAGCATATTTTTCTACATAAATATTCAGCACAGTGGGCAAGAGTTTTAATTTCAAATTTGGATCTTCCTTAAAACTGCCAAATTCAATTGGAAAATCTAATTGTGAATGTGATTATTCATTTTTCTTAGAGTAAGGCTCTCCTCAGATGGTTCACGTCAGGATCACCTACTCAAGAAAGCACCTTTTCATACAAGCACTGAAACAGCATGGAACCAAATGAGTTGATCTTCCTTTATCTAACTCAACTAAACTGCCTTATTCTAATACTATGTAGCACTGTTGGGCTGCCACTCCCATGAATAGCATCAGTTGCCCATGATGATTTCACTGTCTTCACCACCTCTGCAGCCACTAAGGCTTGGAAAAAGATCTAGAACTGTTCCAGGCTAATCTTAAAAACAAGCAACAGATCGGCATATAATAAAATAGCATAAGCTCTAGAAGTGTTTTAACTGTAGTATTTTTCCACTATGCATTTTTTTTTCCCCAAGTGAATAAAAGTTAAATAAACATTTATCTCAGATTTAAACCATTTTTTCCCAAAGCATGGAGGGAGGGACAGGGAATAAAACATCATTTCAGTTTCCTACAGAGATAAGGAGTAGGAGAAGAGTACTTTTCCCTTTTTCATGCATTATTTCTTTAGTGTCTTGTCTACTTAACATTTCCCCTGTTCAACATAATCTTGCTATATGTAGTATTGGAGTCTCTTCATATGAAATATTTTTGAAGTAGGAAGTTCAGAAACAGACATTTGTACTTTGGATTTTTTTCTTATTGTATACAATACCTTCTCATTACTCCGTGTCTGAAAAGAGATGTCATCCAGGGCTAAATCAAGATCCTTCCTGTACTGAGCTTTGTAGTTAACAAACTGTATTATTCCTCTATCAGGCCACCCTACTGGTGGCCTTTTTGATGTTATCCATGGTTCCTGGAATTAAAACCACTGTAATTTCAGTTTATGACAGTAAATGTGTCACAAGTCAATGAAAACAGTAGAAAAATTATATACATCTCTAGAAATCCCAATAGCTTTATGATAGTTCCAATGTGATATAAGGGAAGGAAAAATTTCTTTAACAGATGCTAGGCAGCAACAAGATTCCAACTTTTTTTTTTTTTAATCATACGCATTCATTTTAAAGTTTAACTGCATAGTTGCTAATAGTCTATGATCTGTTCCATCATTTGACAGGAATTTAATCTGATGCCTAATTTCCCAGATATTTCAAACATATATTTAATGAGAAACATTTTCTTTTAAGGAGTAAGAGAGAACAGAGATGTGAACAAAGGTGAAGAAGCAGAAACAGGGAAGGGTAAAAGAAAATCAAGACCTAGAAGACAGACTTGTTTCTAAGACAGACCAAGGCTCTAAATTCTCCAATATGGGTGCCACTTTCAGAAAAGTACAATAACCAAGGCCAAATGCTTTGAAAAACAAAAGCCTCTCCAGTCATGAGGTGAATATAACAGTGAGAGATCTGGAATGTCTCTTCCTTGTCTGTCCCTCTTATAATGCTCCTTGTGGTTGTACATAGCATAAAACAGTGACCTGAGATGCAGTTCCATTAGTCTTACTATAAAATCTACTACTAATAAGGATGCCAAGAAACTTACTGGTCAAAATAAAAATAATGAAGCTGCTGTGACTATAATGTAATAAAAATATGCATATTTATTAATGCACATATTTTTATTACATATATTATATTTATTAATATGTATTTTAAATATATAAAATATATATTATGTATATATTAATGTATTATATTATATATATTATATTATATATATTATATACAATATATATATTATATTAATATATATTAATATATATAATACATAAATATATATTAAATATATATATTTATTATGTGTTTTTACATTATTAGTGTAATAAAAATATGTGTATTAATGTAAAAAAAATTACAAAGTATGTAATGACAAATTATAATCTGATATTACCATTCACCAATATTAAATTCAATGTAAGGTATTTTGTATGCACACAAATTAAATATTTATTTACCATTGCAATGAGAGTGCTCACCTCTTTGTCCATGTTTGCATATTCACAAACTCTTTCAATTGAAACCGCATTGGTCTCGATTTCACATGCTTTACGCACCCAAAAATTGAGACTCTGAATTATCTGGGGAACAAAATTGCATTGTAGAATGTAAAAAAATAACTATACTATAATACAATGTAGTGATTTCAAAATTTAATCCCAATTGAATAATTTCCTAGGCTGGATGCCCAACCACAGAAGCCAGGAAGTATACAGAAAATAGTGGCATGCCAAAGGAATTATCACTTCGAAAATCACTGATCTGAACGTTCCTATGAGCACTTCCTGTCTGCTGTCAGACTGCCCAATGGCTACGGTAATTTTCACTAACATAACAGCTCCAGAGATCTGAAACTATTTCAAGATAAACAGAAAACGCACAGTAATTGCATAATATGTTGAAAGAAAAATATATATGGCTCATATTGTGGGTACATTATTGCACAATTTCCTAGATAAAGTAAGCCAGCAACATGGAGCGAAGAATCTCTAGTGGAGATACATATCTGGTCTATTGTGCACGCCAAATTTGTTGTCTTCAAACATGGGGAATGCTTCTGCAGACCAAATTGGTACCAATTCTATATAATAGAGTAGGTAACAATTCTGTCACCACATACTCCCAATTCTATCGGAAAAAAAAGTAAGCCAAAAGATGTATTTATTTATTTATTTTAGATTTAACTGTTTTGAGATGCCTTACGTAACTAGAGAGTGGTGTCAATTTGGCATCAGATGAAAGTGAAACACTGTGCAGTACCTGTCACTGAATAATCTTATGTCATCATATACTCAGTGATGGTAGAGACAGAACAACAGACAATGGAACTCTTGTGAATTGGGCATGATGTGGATGATGGGTAATTTATTCTCTCTAGCTCTCTCTTTCTCTCATTTAGTATCTGTCAGCTGTGAGTCTGAAGCACTTAAAACAGTGAGAATCTGGACTCCAGTAGGGTCCCAAGCATCATAAGATTAAAGATGCTTAGTTTGAATATATATAATTCTTGAGGTTTATTTTAACTAGCAACTTATCAGTTTACCTTACTACAGGACAAATTCCTAATGTAGCTCTCACGTATTATTTTCACAAGCACAGTGTAAAAAGTAAATGATTTTAGCAAGCTTTGAAGTAAGCGTTCCCACACAATATTCAGTAAGTGAGCAAAAACAAGAAATCAAATATGAAATATATTTGAAAATCACTAGGCTTCTTATTCTTGGTGGTTTAACAACACTTAAAAGTAAGCCATATATAGTTGATTTGATTTTAAAACATTCTTTAATAAATATCATTTAATCTAAATTCAGAAATTGAAAAATAATTAATGTGAAGCTTCCCAGAATTAATGGGATGTAAAGGAAAGCTCTGTTCTGCTCATGGCTTTAGTTTTCCTGTTGCCACTGTATATATTCATCTACTCAACTTCATTGTAAGTGTTATTTCCTTTTCATATGCGATGTGACAGCAGGAAAAAAACAAAACAAAATACTTACATTTAGAGCATATGATATTGATAAACCCACTGTAGAAGAACTCACTGTATTTCCAGCCAGTACTACAAACAGTGCAGCAAAGAACACCATTAAATTGCCTAGAAATTCAAGCCTGACAGACAGCCACCTGCAGTAATCAAGGCAAAGGAAAAAAGTGAATTACCTACAGATTTCTTTTAGCAGTGTAGTGAACATACTCAGTCTCTCAACCTGCTTTGGAGAACAGATAACTACCACCACTCCCATTTTACAGATGGACTGGGAAGGGAATTTGATGTCTACACTGAGTGACACAGCTAAGAAAAGATGCAGTCTCTCCACTAATGGCTAGTGTTCTCTTCACTACTTACATGACTTTCCTACTCTTCTTATCTGGAATAGATTCAGGTATATGAGTGAAAACTAGAAAAGTGAATCTCCTTGCTGATCTCTACCTGGAACTGAATCACAAAAGAGGGAGGTGAACTGCACTTATTTCCTTAAAAACAAGGATTCCACTCTCAGAATCAACTTGCGCTCTAGGTATAGACCAGCTTTCTACCACGTGAACTACTGAAATATAAATTAGATTTGTTCATATTCTTGTAAGAAGCTTGTAGGCTTGTTATACATAGCAACTGTTACAGTCGCAATGCAATTAATACACAGTCCATGCCCATGACCTATCAGTAAACTTTTTGTTGTGGTGGTGGTTTTGGAAACATTCTCATCCTAGACAAAACATACATATTTTTTTTTTTTTTTTTATAAACCTGCTAGTTTCTGGGACATAAAGAAGAAATCATCCTAGCGCTTGAATGAAATCTCTGCATTCGTTACAAAGAGTGCTGGATAAATTGCTCTTATCCCACAGAATATCTTTTGTTTTTTTTTCAAGTGAGTTTACTCTGACTAAAGGTACCACATAGCTGTGGAATTCTGCATGCAAAGGTCTCAGTCAGAGATGCATAACTGCTGTAAAGTACCTGTTTGAGATGACATTGTTGTAGAAGTAAACTAAATTCTCATACACAACATCATAGTTTTTTCTAATGAAACTCTCCTGGTGACCAAATGCTCTAATTGTCGATCTTCCTAGGACAGTCGCACTGAAGTGGGAGATGACTGGAGAATGTGACGCTCCTGCTAGACGTCGAATTTGTCGTGAACTTGCTATGTAATATCGCTAACAAAATAGTACAGAAAAAAAAGATCTTAAGTTGCTACCGTTTCTTTTACATAATTTTGCATTATCTTACAGTATTTGAATTATTTGCCATATTTAGTTCCAGTTCTTTTAAATCTGTTAAATAGTTCCTGTAAATTTTGAATATGAAGAAGTTGAAAATCTCTACATAGGAAAAGAATCTGTGTCTTCAGACACACCAACATTGTAATGCCAACATAACTGCAATCTATATTACTGGGCAGACAGATGTAAAAGAACATTATTTCCAAATTCTATAGAAAATGTGCTATACTACAAGAGGTATGTAGCAACCAACTAAAATTTCTATTTTATATTATTTCTTTAATGTAATAATGTCTGTATTTAAATTTCTTAGCAGAGACTGAATCCAGGCACTCTTTTCATTCATCTATATTGTTATTTTAAAAATCTTTAAGGTCTTAATTACATACTGTACTTTAAACATCAAGAAGCAGGAATATAAACACTAGTCTTTCTGAAGCTTTATCTTTTGGCTTCTTAGTAGCATAAGTGAAACTTCTGCCAAAAAATATCACATGTAGTTTAGGCATCATTCTATTTTTACGTATACTGTCCAGGGTTATTCTTCAGCTTTCAGCTTTCTCTTTAACATATGCTCATTTTTTCAGGTAATTTCATCAATTTCTTACTGGGAGCTACATCAATACTGTATCTTGCTAAGAAAGGCAAAACATAAGAAAAATATAAATTGTTAAAAGTTCACAAGTATTACAGGATATATTCAAGAAGTGTACTCATTTCCTTCTAAGAAGCATGAAGATTTTTTTTTCTGAAAGCAAGTTCAGATTTATTCTGTAGATATTTTTTTTCCACTTAAAGTAATAATCTAAGTCAGTATCCTTGATTGCTTTTAACATTTTACGCACATACATTTAGAAATCCTTATGAAACTTAATGAACTTACTTGGATAGTAAAATACAAGTATCCCAGGGGAATAACTGCCACTATGAATAGTGGTGAGGCGAATGTGATAACTAGAATGGTTCCAATAACATCCAGTGTACAGTTCAGCCAAGTTCGTAAGTAGTAATGGAAACGTACGTCTACTATAAATAAGTCCTGGAACAATGCATAGAAGAATCAAGATTTTATGAGTACACAGCAGACTTCAATAAACCATCCTTTAAAACCAGGATCAAACTAACATATCCTCAATAAAAGTTGGTAGGATTACCCCCCACCCGATTACATCCTAATGAAATTTATTCATATATCATTATTTTTTGCCTAAAAGTGAAGTAGATAGAGTACTCGTGTCAGAGAACAGACACATGGTGCATGAAGTCAAGAAGTGACCGCTTTTGCTATTTTGCTACTTGCTACTATTTAGCTTATGTAAAGCATTTCAGACTGGAAATCAGGCCATGAGTTCAAATCCTAACTCTTCTATGTACTCCTGTTAATAATTCTGATGTGTACTGAAATATCATTAATCTCTTACTGTATACATTAAAGCTTTTTCAAATCCAGTTTATAACAAAATGCTACAAAAGACTAGGGGCTTGACTGAAATCTACATCAATCGATATTTTAGTGTATTACACAACCAGCCTTAGTCTCGTCTAAAAAAAAATACAGCCTTTGACAGCTACTGCACTTGAAATAATCTGCAATGTGTTGCAACAATCTAGTTATGACAAAACTCGGAAGTATTAAAGTCATAGTAAATAACATCTGTTTGTGTATTAGAGGTTTCAACTCAAGTCAAAGCTCTACAAAAATGGAAAACACATTTACTGTAAGTCTATGTAACCCAGAGAATGTGAATTTGATTTATTAATTGTTTTTGGCAATATCATTTGATTCTGATTTGCAATAAAATATCAAACAGCTTATATTATAAATAATAATAAGAAAAAAAAAAACAAAAAACAACAGATCATGTTTAGGTCTGAAAAACTTGTTACTCTGCAAGAATAGTGTTTGATGAATGGCCTCCTAATGATTGTGGATAAGGTCCATGCAACTTTTGCTAATAATAAGTTTTGATAATTTTTTTTTTTAAGAATATAGCCAGAGACAGTTCCACCATTCTTATGCACTGAAGCAGCTTTCAACTGCTAGGCAATGTATTCATTTATTTTGATATCTTTCATTTTTCAACAACACTAACTGGGATTAAATGTGTAGTCACTCAAGCTTCATTTTCTTAAAACAGAAAATACATCAGTTTTCCCTTTACCTTTGTGAATCTATTGATGATCTGACCTACAGGATTAGTTTCAAAATGCTGAAGAGGAAGGTGCAATACGCTGTCTAACAGCTGGTGATGTAACTCCCGAGAAGCACAAAGGGAGCCCCTGGTGAGCACATAAGCACCACAGCAAACAAGAAGACCTTGGGAACGGATAAATTAAAAGACAGTATGAATGGTATGCGAGGGAGAGGAAATGGAGATTATTTCCATCCCTGTTTTCTACCATGGTGACCAATCCACACTTCATATCTTAATTTTTACAATTTGATGTATTTGCATTTTGTTGATACTTCTTACAAAGTGTTAAAATGTATGTCCTTCCTGCAATTAAGTCTCAAACAAGCATGCCTCTCTCACTGAGATGCTAGCATAACTTCAGTAGGTTACACCTGGATGCTACTGAGCTCACACAAGTATCATAAAATTAAATAGCATTTTCTTCTACATTGCTGTATCTCTCTTCTACTATTCCTCTCCCGGGTTAAACAATTAGACTGTTGCACATAATTCTGTTTATGAAACAGCCAGCATTATTTCTTTAGTAATAAACACGTAGGTAGATCATTGTCAGGAAATGGTGGGAAAACAGTCATAAATGTTCGTGCTTACCTTGTAAGAATCCCAAAAGCCCATAAATACCGAGTTTGTAGTTTTGTGACTGTTTCCATTCTGTGAAATCACTAGCTTTTGCTGTCTCTGCAGTCCAGGTGCTAAGCCACAGATTTTGTCCAATGGCTAGTGCATTTTGTCCTACATAAGCAGCTATGGTCAGCCACATCCATCGCCAGCTGAAGGCTTGGAGATATTTTAAAACAACTGACAGCTTCATCTAAATAATAAAAAAAAAAAAAAAAAGGAATTAATGGTAGGAAGAATACAAGGAGTTACTCTTAAAATCAAAACCATTGTTGAAGTCAAATACACATTATACAATGGGAACTGAATACATTAAATTCAGATTAAGTCTACAGAAGTTTTTAATTAAATCTGATAACTAAGGTATATAAAAGCATACTGTAAAAAGGTTTTGTCTGATTTTGCATTCTGATTTTTAATCATACATATCCTAGGCAACCTTGTTGTGACACTTACCAGTGTCACAAGAAAATCTTTGATATGCAGATACTATCAAACAAATAAACAAATTAAAAATCACAACCACCACTAACAACAATGAAAACAGGAAATAAACAAACAAAAAACTGATTATGCAATACCCTGTGCAGCTTGTTTAAAGCAAATATTACTCCATTGTTGGAGCTAGAAACTTTAGAATCGACACCATGGGCTATTGTAGCCAAAGGAATTACTCTTAAATTACTCTGTGAATTAGTGACAGCAGGATAAAGTTCCCATCCTTAGTATAGATGAGGATTAATGGGGAGAAGTTCAGTTAGGCCACTTGAAAGGTTGAACTGATAACAGCAGAAAAATAGTAAATTCTTCGATTTTCTTACAAGATCCAGAGGGAAATGAGCTCTGTTTAGCACAAACTCTGTCTTCCTTCTGCAAACTCCTTTTTGTTCTTGTTCTGTTTGTTTGTTTCCCCAGGTGCTTATCTCTAACTCTTCCTGGAAACTGAGTTTTCCTCCACATTCTCATTCTTATTTTAATTTACCTCTTGGTTCCCTGGAACTTTTGATCTTCCCCACATTCTATTTCACTTGTTCTTTTGCCTCTCCCTAGCAACTGGAAAATTTTTTTAATGGGGAATGCAGAAAGTGCAGTTCTAAAATAAAACAATACTGCAGCAGTATTACCATGCAAAATTTCTAGATTCTGCTCCAGCACACAGATATTTAAACTTCCTAAAGTTGAGACAGATTATTTTCCTAATGGGGATATAAGCTTTTTTAAATATTCTTCTTTCTGAAATACATAAATCAGACTGAATCAAGATGTAAAATGAAAATGCAGCCTATAGCAGATAATAAAAATAGGAAATATCAAGCTAAACACTTAAAATCTGGTAAAAAATGTAAAATACATTTTAAAATTAGCAATTAGAGGTCAGGCAAGCTTAACAAGAAACAGAAAAGTGGAACTGAAAAACAATACATATTTTTATGCATAAAAAAAACTCTCAAACAAAAAAATACTAAGGTTTTTTCAATTATTGATACTTACACCACCAGTAGCAACTTTTTCTTTATTGTTTGTGAGAATTTTCCACTGATCAAAAGAAGAACTGCAAACAAGAAGAACAATGTCAAGTCTTGTGAATCATACAAAGAGTACATCCATTTATGTCTAAGCAGAAATATATACTATGAAATCTTGTATTTTTTTTTTCTTATGGAGATATGGCACTGCCCTCTAATGTTCTATTTTTCTGTTAGAATAACTTTATGGTCAGAAGACAGTACCAGGTACGGCCTTTTCATTTCTTGTATCGTTACATGTAGGTAAAACTCAGCTTGCCCTGACTGACTCTGCAGCTAGAAATTTAAGATTGTCCTTTTCTGAAGCATGCAACTTGGGTCTCAGTCCTTGTCTAGGCCAAGGAAAAGGTCTTGCTATTTGCCTTATCCATTTCTACTACTTCTGGACCAAGGTGGTTAGGCTTAGGTGACCTGCATTGTCTGAATTTTTAGGTGGAGATGTGCCACTATAGTGCATTACAAATTAATCAAGGAGTTCATCCCCTTACTTGCGGGATCAGAAGTTTTCTTAAAGGTGGAAAAAGAAAAATTAATGCTACAGGGGAAAAACAAAGAACATAAGCAGCTTGTTAATACATCAGGAAGTCAAGCTGCTGTGAGGGAATTGTGGGTGCAACCACAACAGAAACTTCTGAAACTCCCCTTCGCTCCCAATTAATACGCTTTGATTTACAGAGAGAAGCAGCCCACGAACCAGATCCTTGGAATCATGTACATCAGTATGTGTAATAATAAAATAATCTAGTACATTAACTATACTTCTTTTGCATACAACTAAACCAGAAGATGAGCTCCAGATACATACTATGTAGTCAACTGCTAAGGGCATTCAGTCTTAACCCATGTTTACACAGTGGAATATCACCACAGCCTTCAGCATAAGCACTTAGGGTTGCTCTGGCATTGCATCAAATAGGCAATGGCTATTGCTTTTTTATACTTACTGTTTGAGTTTCCTCAATTCTCTTTGTTTCAGACTTCTCTCTAGTTGGCACTCTTCTTTTGAAGAAATCACTATAACAGCAAAAAATAGAAAAATATTTTCAGTCATTATACCATGAGTGGATGGGTACAGTGAAAGAACTTAGGAATAAAAAGTGGACAAAGTGATGAACAGGTGTATTTTAAATTATGAATTGTGTAAGTCACTTTAATCTTGATACAGGTACTACACTAGACAGAGACATTTATGACCAAATACTAGAACAGCAACATAAAGTAAATCTTCTTCCCAATGTGGAAGAAGTTGGAAAGCATATTTAATATATATATATATATATATATTGTAATATTATGTATTGAGTGTACATGGCAAGGTTTCGGTAACAGTGGAGCTGAAGAGGTGGCCTCTGTGAGCAGAGCCCAGCAGCTGCCCCATGTCAGACCAGGGCCAGTTCCAGCAGGTCCTACAGGGACCCATCAGTGGTGAGAGCTGAGCTGGGGAGTAATGCTGGGTAGGCCTCTGGGACAACAGATTTAAGGAAGGGGAAAATAAACTGCTGCCCAACAGCAGCTGGGTGAGAGAGGAGAACCAGCCCTGCAGCACCTGGGGTCACTGCAGCAGGAGGGCAGGAGGTGCTCCAGGCAGGCAGCAGCAGTTCTCCTGCGGCCTGTGGAGAGGCCCCTGGTGGAGCAGGCTGTTCCCCTGCAGCCCATGGGTCCCACATGGAGCAGATCTCCACGCTACAGCCCCCCCATGGGTGCAGGAGCCCCCAGTGGAGCAGGTGGATGTGGCCTGCAGGAGGCTGCAGCCTCCTGCTCTTTTCATTTAAGGAGGCGAAGTGAGAGAGCAGTTGTGGTGGAGTTCAGCTGCGTAGCAGGGTAAAACCACCACACACTATAGTTTGCTTGACTGTATGAAAGGAGGAACTCAGAAATAACAGTACTTAAGAAATACTGTCTAAACCTTCATAAAGGAAGCACTATTCTGTATTTTCTGCTGTGGTATCTTCACTGAAGCAGAAGTAACTATACTAGCAGACAAACTTTGCAGAGTCCCTTTGGAGTTCTGTACTTACTGAAAATACAATTTTATAACTCCCTACAATATTAATACTAGTGTTTATCTCAAAATAGTCTGGCATCTTAGCTGGAAAACTGAACTCTCTGTTCTTTGTGTGTTAATTACATGAAACAACACTTTTTCAGAAATAGATTTTTTTTTTCTTCTTTTTCATACTTAATGTAATTTAAGTCAACAGACCTTTTAAGGCAGTTATGATTTCTACATCCATCTATCCTGCTGCATGTACCTCTGTTGTATAATTTTGTATCACAACACATTGTATATTGTTTCTCCTCCTTGTTACCTCGGCTCCCCTTCCCTTGAGTCATTACTCATCCTGTATGAATAATGCATGTTCCCTCACACCATCAGCCCTACAGCTAACCCAAGACTGTCCTTTTGCAAATTTGTGGTTGTTTTTCCCCTCCTCCACATCAACCCCCAGCAAATATTTGAGAGTGCTTGCTTCAGTGTAGGGCCTGAATTAATAAGCTCACCTAACCGTGCTGTGTGCTACAAACTCTAATTAGAGTCACTACATTAAATGGAAAGCAGCACTACAACCATCTGCAGGCACTTATCTGTTAAGAGTCTTCTTCTTTGTTATGTGGAGATGCATTCTCTCAAAATTAAATATTCACAACTCATCTCCTTCTAAAGTACGTGACGAAATCAAGTCAAACAGTCTGCATTGAGTATGTACTTATTTCTTTTCCATAGCTTAATGAAGAGCACACATGAAACAGCTCAGGTAAAGAAATGAGTCCCAATCCAAGCAGATAGTTTGTAGGTATGCTTTTTCAAGGTACTATGCCATTTCTGTTTAGTTTGCTGGAAGTATCTTTTAAGAGTACAAACAGCTTCGTTTATTTTTTATCCTACAAATGGACAGTATTCTCCTATGCCTTCTGCCATGATTACAGCAATCTAAGGTGAAGGAAATGTGAAGCATCCAATATAAAGGATATACTTGAGGAATTTGAAATGTCCATTCATTATTTATTGAATAATAAAACCTTAACAGAATCAAGTAACTTTCTAAGTTACTTGTCCATGAGTATGTAGATTAGAAAACAGCTGCATAAGGCAGCTTGATCGTACATACTTTAGCTGAAAGAGTAAAACATTCGATGTCAGTGCACTATTATTTTAGTTTATAATCAAAATGTAGGTGGGAATGCTCTACATTTTCCAGAAATTGTAAGGAAGGAGAGGAGGAATATTTTGGGAATGAAAAGGAAAAATACTAAATAAACACAGTACACAAGTTTTCTCACCTTCCTTTGGGGTTGTCGCTTCACTTCTATTCTCTGCACCAAAGACTTGAATAAGCTCAACAAAATTAGCCTTCTTTGATATGAGTTCCCAGTAGGTCCCCATTTCGCTTATTTTGCCCTCTTCCATCACTATTATAAGATCAGCATGAGGCAGGAGCCTTAGGTTGTGTGTCACCAATACACGAGTCTGAAACACAGGATTTTCTATTTCAGCATATAAAAACAAAGCATGTATTAAAAGTAAGCATTTTATGTTGGAATGATCAGTTGGAAATTTTCTGGGATTTTGCTTATTTGTCTACTTTATTACTATTACAGTTGTTTATTGCCTGCTTTACTACATTTCTCCTTAAATTGCCAACTGCAACGTCAAACTGTTTATGCTTACAGCTATTTGATATTACTTGTACTTAACTGTTTCTTAATGTTTGTCTTCTGTTCAGGGGTGGTTTAGATTAGATCATAAAGAGAAGAGGTAGTTGTATATTACAGTACAGTAGTTTAACAGTCTTACCATTAAATCTGCCTAGAAGTCTACCATTACTAGAGTTCTTTCTTCTGCCAGATACCTATCACCTACAGAGCACGTAAATTAGGAAAAGGAAGAAGGGAGAGATGGAAGTGAAAGACATTTACTTCATAGTAAGTAAACTATTAATAAGTAAGTTCATAATAATACATGTGTTTTGCAGGCATCAGCAGGATTAACCTGCACTAACTCATAGCACTGAAGAGAGAATATTTTATGTCCATCTTACCTTCCCACATTAACAGATCTTACATGGGAGGACTTATTCCCTCTGATTCCACTTTCCCTTTGGGAATTTCCTCAGTCAACAAGAAGCCCTTCTTTCTACAACTTACACTGGCTATAACTTATTTATGGCAGTGAAGCATCAAGAGTGACCACAAAGGGCTCTACCCTGCCTTGTATATGCACATCACAGCACTCCTCAATAGCTGCCAGCAAAGGAGAAATGACCACGTATTATACGACTTTTTCAGACTTCGAGGTCAGGCCAGCTCTCAGTCTTGTTTTCTGCCTGCACTATGGCCATCTGATAGGCTTTAAACTGGTAGATTCAGCTGTGCTTTTTATTTAGCCTCTTTATTCAGAATATTTTTCAACAACACATTAGGAAAAAGATGAACTTTTGCAGTATGACTGAGACATTGTGTCTGTTGCATTGTACAAAGCAGTTCACCCCCAAATTGAAAAGCGGCCTCCCTACTTTACCTTGTTTTTTAAGAGGCCTGAAGGCCCAATTAGCTTCTCAAAAAGATGTTTCCCAACATGTACATCTACAGCAGATAGGGGGTCGTCCAGAAGATACAAGTCAGCATTGCTGTACACAGCTCTAGCAAGACTCACTCTCTGTTTCTGCCCTCCACTTATATTGACGCCCTAAGGAAAAAAAAAAAAAAAAAAAAAAAAAAAAAAAAACACATTTTAATACAAAATACTACACAAGACCAGCATATCATAGTCAATTTCATCATTGTATTTTTCAGGTAACCAAAGTAAATTTTCTAATATTTATAAAAATAGAAAAGTTACAAGTTGGATTTTTAAGTAATTAGAGCAAAGTTTGCCCCTTGTTGATTAACTTCTCATTTCAAAATGGGCAATTACAATGCACTGTGGAAAATTAACTATTACTTACAGGCATACAGGCAATACTAATATTAGTATTAATTATACTTCAAATTCTCACCCTTTCTCCAATCTCTGTTTGATCTCCCTTCGGTAACTGTTCCAAATCTGGCAGTAAAGCACAAGACTCTAAAACAAGCTCGTAGTATGACCTATTTAGATTTGCGCCGAAGAGAATATTTTCCTGTAAACTGTCATTTTGAATCCAAGCTTGCTGAGCAACGTATGCCACTGAACCCTAAATTAAAAGAATTGGAAACATTTTTTACTTGGTCTTTCTGAGCACCAAAAATTGCATTTTAATATAACCTTGCTATTCTAGCTTCATCTCAAAATAACAGGACATTACTTCCATAATTTGAGCATTATTAAAGTGGTAAAAATTTTGACTAATAAAAAACAATTGGTTTAATATTCCTGTACAACAGCTTGCTGATAATTACTATAACAGCACATACTTCAAATAAAACTGACAGAGCTGGGACATACATTGAGTGAAGTCGTTCAGTGAAAGATCTCAGTGACAAACAGTGACATCTTTTAAAGGTAATATTTACATACCTAATGTAGAGCCATTTTGCTGCATGTATCGATGTACGGTTTGACTGTATTTTTACCTAACTTTCTGTGGAATATATAAACCCCTAAAAATTAAGATTACAGGATAGCAATGATCACCAGAAATGCTCCTACATCTTTTCTTACATAAGCTGTATGTCCTGTAAAAATGGATGAAAAGATAAAATGGCACTTCCAAAAGCAGCTTTCCTTAACTTATTTTCTGGTGAGTAGGTCGGGGTGGAGTATGGAGGGACAGACAGACAATCTTACTCTTCTCTGAACTGTTCCTTCAAGTTTCTCCATTTCTCCAAGAATAGCAGAGAGAAAAGATGATTTTCCAGATCCAACCTGTCCCACAACAGCAACTAAAGAGCCTTCAGGAATGCTGACACTCAAGCTGGAAATATTGAGGAAGAAATTAGTTATCCTCTTTGTAAACACTGCATCATGTATGGGTTGTAGTCATTGTAAGAAATAAATACTCTATTTTACCCTCAGGACAATGAGAAATCAGTATTTCAGTTTGCATGCCTTTTAAATATATACCCTTCAGCAACATGCAATAATGACTTTAAGAATAAATTCGTTGATCTGCAGATTGAGAGGTTGTGTTTTCATCTGGTCACAATATAATCAAATGGGAGAATGTCTAACCAGTACACACATTTACTTGTCTCAGGCCTGTAGTTTGCTTTTTACCTTGTTCTGACAACCAACAGCTAGACTTCTCATGTAGAACCTACTGTACACAACGTGTGAAAAATATCTGAGTAAAAAAGGCTGCTCTTCATCCTCCACAAATTTTGCTGTCAAAACATGTACAACCTGATCTCATAAACTTTTGCATACATAGAGAGCCACTTCCTCTACCTGTACTCCAGCTATCTGGATCTAAGCATGTTCTAAACCAAATGACGTCTGCTGAAACCAGGTTATGCCTGGAAATTATACTGCAGGCTATGGCAAGTGATCCCCTCTATCCTTGAGATGAACAGAGGAGACAGCATGGTGAGAGGGTTAGATTGGGTGGGTGGTAACCGCTTCAGCTGCCCTAGTAAAATTGGACAGAGCTTATCAAGTAAGTTCTTCATTCTACTCCAGGGCACGATTATTCCGTTTTCTTACTAACACTGCAATGAATTCATTGTGTAGCAGCTTAAAAATATCTGAATTTATACCTAAAAAATACCTCATTAAGAAATGACAAACAAAAAAGGAGCGTTTTCAGGCAAGAGAGACCACTGTAAGAAAAGCAAACTTTGTTCTTTCCAAAGAAATTTAAACCTTCCTTGTGCAAACTGAAGTGTGAAACAATAGGAGTGCTATGTTGCAGAACCATACGCTATGTGGTTCCTCTTAGAGCATGAGGGAGTCCAGGTCAGATTTGACTTTCTAGAGCACACTGATCACATGGGATACTCTGCAAATAACAGTGTATGTTCTTTCTGGTGTCTTCATCATGAACTAGTCCTAACCCTGAAAATCTTTATAAATGTCACACTCTACTGAAAGAGCTCATAAAAAGTAATGAATAAATATCTTACTTTTTTAAGATTGGCAGGCCATTTTTCTCCCAGCGGAAAGAAGCACCAATAAACCCAACAGCATGATCTGTTGTAGTAAAGGAAAAAGAACACAGTTGCTAATCCATCCCCTCAGTTGAGGTTCTTAATGATCACCCATTTAAACTAATGAGCAATTAAAAATGAGTAACTGCGGCTTACTTCCACTGTAGCTTGTATTAACATCCTCAGGGTTAAGATCCTCAGCACACAGAAAATCCTCTAAACGTCTCAGAGAAACCTTGGTCTGCAAGATGAACATACAGCACAACCTGTGCTACCTAAATTCTTAAATAATACTTAAAAACGAAAACAAAAAATAGTCAAACAAAAAATAAACCAACAAAAAAACCTCTGGACAGTATGAAAAGACATATTCCTTGTCCTAATTAAAGGTAGACAAAAATTGGTGTTCAGGGTAAATGAAGCCAAAAGCAAGTGTTCACCTCCCTCTCCCCCAGGATCTACACTGCCAGGTAACTATAAAATAACAGAGCATGCTTGACCTATCCAATGTTAAAATATACAGTTAATCCTTGAATGGCTAGTTCTTCTGATTAGATTGTTTTCAAACACAGTATTTTACTGCGAGTGCAAATGTACTGTGACATAAAATGAGCTGAATTTACACTTTTGCTAATTTTTAAGCTAATAGAACTCAACCTTAGGAAAAGACAAGTTTTTGATCTTACAGTACGCTGACCATAAATGAAGTCACATCAGGAAGAGTATCTGTTCACAGTGCTACCCATCCTTACAAAAAGCTGGGTTGTAAAAAAGCTGTGACAGAGTACATTCATGGGAAGCTCATATAATATACCCCTAATAAAGCCTTAAAAGCTAACAGTTCCCAATCCATACAATATCCCTACTAGTACACCATTAGGGCTGAAGGTTGCTGATGGAATGCCCTCAGCAGCTCTATTTCTTTTTTCTCTAATTCTTTCAGCAGTGACTAGTGAAAAACAGTAATGCAGAGGCCACGTTGGGCCTTCCCTACTTGGTACCAAGGGCTCCAACATACAAAAATGTTTGAGTTATTTAAAAAGATGTGGCCCAAACTGGTCCCACTTTTCACTGGAACTGCGAAGAGAAGTTGAGTAAAAGCAGAGGATGATTTTAATGCAATCAAGGAAGAAAAGCCAGAAGTTGAAAGCTCAGTCGCAATCAACTGTTCCACCCCATTATCATTCCAGTTAAAAAACTGTGAGTCATCCTTTAAACAGCCTTCATGCTTCCCCTTCTGTTAAAATACTGTGCAGTTTCATCTTAGTAAAGTGTAACTTAAAATAACTGAATGACTTAATCATTCCTAGATATAGATGAAACACCAGAGAAGAACAAGAAGACAGAATAAACATCAGCCTTTTACTGCCCTTAGTCATAATACGCTTACCTGGGCCACAGCAGAGATCACAGATGGCAAATCAAACAAAGGCAGTCGCAGTATGTTAAATAAAGTAATAGATGTAAAAACTTTAGTTGCTGTTAACACGTTCTCTTTGTCCAGATAAAAGAAGACTCCAAATGTAGCCAATGAGACCTTTTAAAAACAAAAAATGAAAAGAAGAAAAATCGCATTATAAATAAAATCTATTTTGTTTGCATTTGAAAGATGTGGAATTCCATTTCTACTTCACATATAAACAGGGACTTCTCTGCATTTGCTGCACTTGGAAATTATTTCATGGCTGCAATGTTGAGTGCTGAAATACTTGGCTACTGGTGTTGACCCAACTGGACGTGCATGAAACTATGAAATAATTTTCCTATCTCAGGAATTGATTTCTTCATTTCGAAAACACTTAAACATGACGTTTCATGCTGACATTTCAGCAAATTCACATTTTTTTCTTTTTGCTGTCTCTATGATATTGGTCATAAAGTAAAATTATTTACTGCAAATATCTGTATTTTTACCACCTGGATTTTTTTTTTTTCAAAAAAATGTATAGTCATTAGAGAATAAGATGCGCTACTACGCAGCAGATACTTGAGCCTTCAGAACTACCCAGGAACGCTTAAAGTTAAGAACCTGTCCTATGGGGTCTCATGTGCCATTTCTTGAGTTTAGGAGGAGTTTTGAACTAAAACAGGAGTCCTAAACTAGGAGTCATAAGAAAGTCCTAAATGATAATTTGATTATTTCACTGCACTTAATTTTGTGATTTTTTCTTACTCACTGCTTCAAGTATTTCAGTTATCAAGGTTACAAACCGGATGGCCTTAATGCCATCTCACCATACCTAAGGAATATTCATCCTCACTTAACTCACATATTGTGAGTTAAGCATGAGAATATTCCAGTCTGTGTAACTAAAGTTAAGCGTGGTCATTTATCCCTAATGAAAATTCCAGTTTGATCCATTTACTTTCCAATGAAGTTTAACAGAGATATTTAAAGATCCAAAGACATGAATGGCTTCCTGATACAATTTCACTGAAACAACGCTAGGATGAATTCAGCTCATGGTTGTCTTTTTGTTGTTGTGTGTTTTGTTTTTGTTTTTCTTTTCCGTTTATTTAGAGGTTTAGTGTTTGAGAAGGGTTTGCTAAAATTTTCAGATTGAAAATACACTCCCTTAAATCAGAAGTATAAAGAAAAGAGTTATTTCTACACAACAGATAAAGTGCAATTAAAACAGTGAAATGAGATTCAGAAGACAAATTTGATTTCTCACTTTCTAGCAGAAGTCTTTAAAAGGTTACTCGATCCATAATCTCTTTGTCTTGTTGCTTTCCAGTCGTATAATTAATATTAGAACCTGTGACTTCAGATATATTGTGTTAATAATCTTTTTAAGATACTGTGAGGCAATGTTTGTGAGCAAACATTGTGAGCTACTAAAGCAACTGGAAATACAACAGACAGTCTTGCATGAATGAATATTTTAATGAAACGAACCATGAAAGGAATACATGTCAATGTAAGCATGGAGTAAGTTGCCAGATAGCCAGATGACTTCAAAACATCCACTTCACGTTCTCTAATGTTCATGACCTTCCTTTGATATGAAGGTTCCCATGCATAAAGTTTGAGGATCTAGACAAATCAAACAAAAAGAAGCATTTGAATAAAATAGTGATCGTGCTTCACAAAATAAGCTTAAGCTCCAAATGTCATTTTCAAATATACAGCAACACCAAACTGTAAAAACTTTAATGTTTTACAAATAGAAGTATGAGCTCAGGTATCTGAAACTTCGGTTATTCTTATGGAAAGAATGCTCTAGTTCCCCTTAATTCTACACATTTCAACAGATTCCTATGCATCATAAATGATGAGTTGTTTTATTTCAGAATTGTATAAATAACGATTAAAACTAGGCAACTTTTAAAAGTGCTTTCTTTACATACCAAAATTTTAGTCTGCTAAAGGTTTTCAGGCATCTACTAACACATTTTACACTAATAAAAATGTACTAAAATTAAGGCATCACAGATAAAGTTTTTCAAATAATATTAAACCATTAAATATCTTTTAAAAAAACTTTAAGCACATTATGTTAAAGTGTCCACTTTATAAGCTTCTATCAATATTGACTGAAAGATTATTCACAGAACCCTATTTTTTTTAAATAACTTGTTTTCAGTCTTCACAAGTTAACAAAACCAAACCAAACCAAAAACCACACCTCATTAGTTGTGGCATTACCTTTATTCCATGTAACATTTCACTTAGTAGCTTGACTCGTTGATCTGAGTATCTCATTTGATTTTTCTGGTTAAAAGACAGCAATATTTTCATTTTTCAGTGCAAAAAAAGGAAAGAAAATATGCAGTATGTTTAGGCAATAATTATCTTTTACACTACTTTTGCCTTGCTGAAAAACACACTAGCACTGCAATTATATCATTTTCAGATATATATGTAAGTCATATTATCCATTACATAAAATAAAGGATTATTTAACACATTACAACAACATTTTCCCCCTAAAATATATATTAAGGAGTGCATTTCAATTCTTTTTTTTTTTTTTTTTTTTTTTTTTAATTTTTAATCTCTTCTCTGCTATCATTATTTCCTTCATATTGAATAAAAATTATAGAGCCATGGTTTGGGTTGGAAGAGACTTTAAAGATCACCTAGTTCTATGCCACCCTTTGCTATCAGCGGGGTCACCTGCCACCAGACCAGGTTGCCCAAAGCCCCAACCAGCCTGGCCTTGAACACTTCCAGGGATGGGGCATCCACAGCCTCTCTGGGCAGCCTGTTCCAGTACCTCACCACCTTAATTATAAATAATTTTTTCCTAATATCTAATCTAAATTTACCCTCTTTTTGTTTAAAGCCATTACTCCTTGTCCTATCAGTATACTCCCTTATAAAGACACTCCCCATCTTTCCTGTAGGCCCCCTTTAGGTACTGGAAGGACCTATCAGGCTTCCAGTTCCCAGAGTGTTCAGGAAAACACTTCAGTACTTCTTTTCTCTCTCACATCTTAGTAGGAATCTAAATATATGTGTACCAGCTGCATCTTCAAAAGAGGTGAGGGCTTTCCTTACTGTGATGTCTCTATACTATCACAGCCTTACAAAAAACTCTATGGATCTGTAGAAGAGTCTTCACTGCATGCTGCAGTATCAAAGGCAGAATAAATCAGACAGGTATTTGCCTTGATAGTAATGCAAAGCTTAGGGCTGTAGCATTTGTTCCAGTGGACCTTGTGAAATTGTCAGTTAAAGTAATATGCAATGCATGCAAGAGAACCGCAGCATAAGAGAAGCAGGAACGAAGCAGGAACACATACAGTCCCTCTGTGGGAATTCTCATAAACATAACATATTCTCCTGAGGTTGAGAGAGCTGCTTAGCCTAAATAATAGAAGTGAAAGAGGACCATAATCCTACAAAATCCCTTATTTAATAGAATTAACTCATGTAATATGCAAAAACGTAACTGCTTCTAAACTGAGTCATATAGCAATTTTTACTAATACAAATGTATTGTTTCAGTATAATGAAAATTTAGGTATGCAATCTAACTAGTAGTTTAGCTATGAAACATATTGCTTTCTTACTGAAGTTATGCTCCCCCACTTTCCCCTCTAGTGGAAAACAGCTACAATATTGGGTTGTTTATTGTTTTGGTTTTAATTTTGATGTGCCAATATAATTCCTATGCCTGCATAATTTTAACCCCCCCCCCCCTTCATTTCTGCATTACGACAATTAAACCTCTCCTTACCATGCCTATTTAAATGTCTCACCTTCAGACTTTTTACTTTGGCAGCAATAAGTGCGTTTATAGGTATAACCAAAAGAAGCACTGCTACACCTGCTAGAGCAGAGGAGCCAAGTTCTTTCCAGAGAAAGACAACAGCCATGATGATCTGAAAAGGTGCTGACCATAACAGGTTGATGTTTACAGTTAGCTCCATGAGTTGCTGAGCATCTGCCGACATCAGGTTCACAATTTCCCCAGTTGTATAGTTTTGTCGTGAAGAATTTGCTAAAGTTAAGGCCTGCAACCAGAAAATAGAGAGGGTAAAAGTTGCAAAAATCAACAATTTTGATGGGTTTAACTTCCCAGGAAAAGCTCAAAGAAGGGATGATAAATAGTAAAGCAAAGCTGAACTCCGTGAAACAAACTTGCAACTCCTCCTCATGGTAAATACAGAGGACACCATAGCACAAAGAGAGCTCAGAAAAGCTCAGCTTTGGGCTAGCTTGGAACTTCCAAGTGCAGGAAGCAACAGGCTTCACAGCAAGCACAAGTGCAGCGGGCTGACACCACATGTCCAGGTGTCTGAGGACTGATACCCAGACAGATCACACACACACTCTCTTGCTGTGACTCACATTCTTCCACTGTATCACCTGGAATTCCTGCACAAAACTAGACAGTGCTGCAGCAACGCACTCCACCATCCATTCCACATGCAAAGCTCAACCTGATCTGATATTCACTGACTCTATTCAGAGAGAGGACCAAGCTATCTCTCTGACCTGTAGCTGTGGAAACTTGCCAGATGACATGCCCACTCTAGTTGCAGCCTCATACTATATTCCCCTGTTCATGACTTGATGTACTGACACATCCTCATAGATGACATGAGAGAAAGAATTCCTCCATTTTCCTGCGCTGCAGCTGACAAGTGAAATGCTGTGTAGTGGTTCAGAAAATACCTGAAAAGGCTATGCCAAAAGGTTTATTTGAATATGTTGAGGAAAAACGATTGCATTTTAAATTGGCTAATTTACTTCAGATTGGGATTATGTCTTGTCTTCCTTAACATTTGCTTCGTTGTCAAATACTGCAGTAAAAATACCAACGTGTTGTGTTTGTAACAGAGTGAATTAAAGGTGCAGCACTGAGAAACCAGCTTCATCTCATATGCTATACAGTAACAGTATACTAAACATTTTAAATGTTTTGTAGGTCACACACAGATACTTTCAATATTACGTTATGAGCACCTTCCTCTCTCACAGTTAGTAATAATCTCAACTTTAATAAGAAATACTGCAGGTAATGTAAGTTACACATAGATTTACACAGCAGTTAACCTACTGCACATTCAAATCATCTGAAAATCAGTTTCACTTAAATCAAGGAGAAAAAATTCAGCCTCCAGAGGAGACAAAGTGGCAAACTTCAGTTTGTTATATTCACTTCAACTGTACAGCAAAAGCTGTGATCACATACATCCTTGTTTTTTCTCTGTAATTCTAGCCTGAAATATTTTCCTATGTCATTCAGTAAATTTGGGGAAATTATCCCATAATCATAGAACCATTTGGGTTGAAAAGGACCCATAAGAATTATCAAGTTCAACCTGCCCATGGCAGGGACATCTTTCTCTAGATCCAGTTGCTCAAAGCCCTATACAACCCAACGCTGAATACTTCCAGTGATGGGTCACAAAACTTCCCTGGACAACCTATTCCAGTGTCACACCACCCTCTTTGTGAAAGGTTTCTTCCTTATATCCAAACTAAATCTAATAAAAATAGGAAGAGCTCAGCTTGTAACAGGTTGCTGAAAAAAGAATTTAACTGCAAGATTGGAGCATCTGAAGAGAAATGCTGTTGAAATTACAAATTCTTATGCATAAAAATCATCACAATATAAAGTCAATCTGTAAGCCTGTCACCAGTTTATAGTATCTTTGGTTTTGATCACGCTGAGAAGCTTATTTTATTTTTTTTTGTTTGTTTTGAAATAAAACAGAATGCATGATTACCTTTTTGTATAGCAGGCCAACAACAGCAGTCTTGATTTTGACTGCAGTAAGCATATTGTTACGCTGGTATAGCTGATGTAGGAGAGTTTGTGAGAAAGCTACAAAAAAAAGGGCAATAGCGTAGCCATATCCACTTCCATATGAACTAGGATGATTTTCACCTAGAGTTATCATTGATCTGTAAATGAAGCAAAATAAAATTTTAGACTCTGTGCACATAGTCAACAACCGACAATAGAAAGTTCACTAAACTGACATTCTGGCAACTTGTTTAATTAAATCCATTTTGCATCCAGGCATGTCATGAAGACAAACCACATTAAAAATAGTGTTCTACTATTTTTTAGCCTAGAAAAAATTATCAAACGCTATTCTAAAAATTAATTGGCTAGTGCTGACTTCGCTGGCAATGCAGTACAAATAAAGAACAGCATGAAAGAAAAAAACAGAGCATTTTAATTGTGAAGTCACAAAGGCTGCAACTACCAACTACAAAAGTGAGAAAATAAATCTGAAGGAAAATTAATTCTTATGTTGGTGGTAGCAAAAGTTTATCTTAAATAACCAGCAACTGTGATATCTTCAAACAGATCTTGAAACAGGTCAACAGGTTTGTTCAGCATCCCAGGATACAACAGAATTTCCCTGACACAGGGTATGGAAGTTAACAATAATTCTGTTCATTATTACTTTTCTTTATAAAAGCAAAAGATAAATTCTTTATACTTTTCTGTTAAGCACAATATCCATCCACCTTATGATATTAATAAGAGAGTTACCACAGTTTTCCCAGAAACAATGGAACTATAGACATTGTTGTACGTTTAATTTTTTTTTTGTAAAAGTAGAGACACAAAAATATTAACAAAAAGCAAGAAAGTTAAACATCTCAGCACTTCACTTTTTTTTTTCTTTTTAACATTTGATTTTGTATTTAACTATATTTAACACTTAAAAGCAATATAAACTCATTTCCACGATATTTATCTCAGTCTGTCAGTCAAGAAACTCCTGATCACTTTGAGCTTTCCCTCATTAGATCATTTACAGATAATCACTGAAGGAAAAAAAATAAAAACACACACAAAAAAACCCACCCCATCTTTAAACATCTAAGCTGTTGCTTAGTTTGGTTTTAATACTGGTAACCCTTTATTATTACTAATCATCTTTAAACATAAGGTAAAACACATTAACAACTTACTTCATTATTTGTGAACTCATGAAAGGCAGAATGTCAGCTGCAACTTTTAGAAAAGCAACTTTAATCAATAAAAATTTAAATGTTTGCCATAGTGGCAAAATCAAAGATTGTTTATGGAAACTCTTTGTCTTGCTTTTGCATAGCATTCTTTTGATGTAAGAAGCCTGCAAGATTACAAAAATATGTAGATAATTAACAAATGAAATGATTTCGTCCCTCTACCCCACCTACAAATATAACGTATGTAACATAAAGTGTCCGTTTCAAGTCATGTTTGTACTTATGTTCTGAAGAAGCACATTTCCTATAGTCAGGACTGAAGAAAAACTTTGAGGTAAGAAATGAACTGTGGTTTTATGTAGTCTGGCTAGAAATCTTTTAGGAAAGGATAAATATTGTTTCTAGGGTTGTCTAGAAGCCCTACAAAATCAGAAAGTAATTTAATCCTCAAATGATTGTCACAGGTCAAAAAACTTGGAAGACTTTTAAGAACTTTATGTCTAAGGTTGAAAAAAAATGTTAGCTGTTCTTAATTATCACCACCTTCAATCCTGCAGTAGACTTTTGGATTTCTTTCCTCCATTGCTTTTCGAAGTTAGGACACACGCTGTATGGTGAATCACTTTCATTCAGCTCAAACAGGTCATCCCTCTCCAATGGTTTTTTATAGCCAATAGATATTAGTCTGAAAAAAAACAAACAAACAAAAAAGCAAACAATGAATTTAGACAGCATGAAATACAGCAAAAACCAAAACAAAACACACAAACAGAAATACAAACTCAAAAAGTTAAGGATATCATTTTGGGTATATAAATAAACTTCATAATCAAAATAATATATGTAATCTTATAAAGGCCACGGCCTAACACTGGAACATACTTACAGTCACCTTAAATATACTGAAATTTACCTGAAGTAAGAAGGTCCCAAACAGACTGAGTAAACTTTTTATGTCAAAGTCTGTCTACATTTCTGATCCCACATTTCTCTACAGGAAAATACAGTATTTCACAAACAAACCTGTGTAGCACCATTACACAGTTACTACTATAATTGGGAATTAAATCTTAATTATTTTTTAATTCTCAGATTGCATTATGTTGTGACTCACTTCTAACCAAGGTAACAACCTTAAACTACTGGGGTTCAGCACAAGTATGATGGAAGTTTCCTTACTGCAGATCTTCATGTATTAAAATTTTGTTTCAGCAAAGTGCTGTTACTCACTTTATTGTTAAAAAGATGTGAAATCAGTCTTAAAAGTGGCAAAATAGGGCTGATGAACAAGCTACAAGAATTCCATTTCAAAGAATAACTGCTGACCTGTATTTTTTGACAGGCAGGACAGATTTCAGAGAACTTGCCATCCCATTCCTGAGATGGACAAAATGCAGCAGGACTAATGTGGACAATTTTATGCACCTTAAAGAAAGCCCCAAACATCTGGGAAGCAGCAAGAGACACATACACGGACACAGGAGCGTTTCTTGTCAGTGACAGCTGTAATGCTTTTAGGCTGGTGGTTATTTTCCTCCCTGAGGGCTGAAATGCAGATGCAGTGTCCATCTTCTCTAGAGCGTGCTTCCAGTGCAGACTTCTGTGCCAGTCAGTGCCAGTGCTGGGCTTCGTGTTAACGTGTGTGCCATTGTGCTTAGCACAGTATGCAGAGTAAGATTCAGAAACTTTTTGTTGGAAGTAACAAAATTCTAGTGGGGGTAGACCTCACTATCCATATGGGCCTCCTTTCTACTGAAACTGTAACATCAAAGACAAAGCATATTTGTCCTACACTTGATAAATTAAGGCAAAAACAACACAGCCTTTTGTACTATGAGCACCAGCTTTTGAGAAGATGAGGAAAGCAGACCAATTAATACTTAAGTTATGCGGAATGACATTGCCTATTCATCTCAGTGCTAAAAACCACTGCTGCCTCCAGCTATTTGGTAAACTGATTTACCAAATGCCCTTCAGAGTGCAATCTCTGCATTGCATGAATGCTGAGGAAACATAATTGTTATATAATAAACACATAATGCCATATTAATTTGAGACTTTTTCATTTATTACTCTTGTTTGCTTCTGCTTGGGAAGAGGGACCATATATAATATTTACAGTATTAATTTAATTGCATCCAGTAACCTATTTCATTGTAAACCAAGCTCTAACTGAGCAGAACTGAAATCTTAACACCCCAGCCCACTCCCTTTTTTTCGTTAAACATTGTGGAACTGGTTAAAAAACACAATGTTTTGTTAAAAAACAAAACCAAAAACCACAAGTGTCCCATGTTGGACATTATGGTTATTATTATAACCATGTTGGGTTAACATTCTGACATAACGAACAAATAAATATTATATGAATGTACTGTACTCTCACAGCTACTCTGAAAATGATGTTGTACTCTTGAACTCCAGCCCTGTTGAAAGTAACCAAATACTCCCAGTGCTTTGAACAATCTGATTGTTTTGTCTCAGCTTATTAAGTGCAGATACCATTTTCAGTTTTTGCTTAAAAATAATAATGTTGAATAAAGCAAGCCATAGTTATCATACTCCTAAAATACTTTTTCTCACTTAAAATGTTCATATAGGTCTGGTTTAAATGATTTGGAAAAAAAAAAAAAGAAAACTGTTACATCTTCTGACTATTATTCATAACACATGAGTTTGAAATACCATCCAAAATATTAAGTGACTGGAAGACGCATGACTTCATACAGCTGAACTTTTAGTTCCTATTTTTGAGTGGAAAAATTCTTAAGAAGCAGAGGGACTCTCCTGGTCTTCTTAAACACGTGATCTACTGTAATGATGTACGGCCTGATGTAAACAAGGGAGGAAGACAAATATGAAGTCAGCTATTTTAAAAACACCTTAAATGTACCACTGAGTATTTGTTCCTGGAGATCTAGCAAATTGTTATGTCACTATAACAAGCACAAAGAAAACCTTACTTTATTTTTTGTCTATTGCCAAACTTTACAAAGGAGAAATAAAAAATAGCCTATTTGGGGCACTTAAATCCTGTGGCTAAAAGTAGTTTCTATCACAAAAAGAATGCTGTGCTTCATTGAAGCTATCAAAAAATAGTATGATCTCTAGAAATGGTAAACTTTGATTTTTGTATAAAAATTTAACAGCAATCCCAGTCGCAAGCTATGGATATAGCCTGAATGACAGTGTGGAATGTGCAAGCTCTGTAATTCAGAATTTATTAATGAACTTTAACAAGCTACTTATTAAATTCTTACCTGCTAAACCAGGCATATGTTAATTTACTGAGGCAAAAAACATTTTCCTCAGGGCTGCATTTCTGTTTAAAAAGAAAAAAAGGGGAAAAAAAAAAAAGGCATGTTACTTGAAAGACTAAAGAACTTTTTCCCTCGTAGTATTCCTTTATAGTTCGTAGGAGCTATTTAATTCTGATCTACAACACTGCCTATACTTAAGGTTGTTTTTTTTTTTTTTTGTTGTTGTTTGTTTGTTTTGGTTCCTGTTCCCACTAATAAATTCTAACAAGAGGTATGGAGAATGAGAAATCTTCAGTTTCATGACTTAATAAATTTCACAACTCAACTTCCAGTGAGAGGATAATTAACCATCCCTTAAGCTTGATATTACACTGTTTATACACAGTCTAGGGTATTACACTAACAGTAAACCATGCCCAATATAAGCAAGCGTTCCTTAAATTTTGAGGGTTAAAATCTTGTTTTACTCTTCCCCTATTTGGAAACCTGGCTACTGGAAGTAATCAACTGCTAATATATAAAGAAAAGCAACCTCCTTTCAGACGTTAAGAGATGAAGTACTTCTAACGTGTGCTGTACAGGTGAAGGAAGAGAGAAGAGTATTAGGATCACGTACTGCTGCCTGTTCGTATCCTACTGGAGATAAAGGCAATACAGCAAAACAAGCGTGCACTGCCCCGCACTGCCCGAGGAATGTGTATCCACGCCCAAGAAGCCTTTGGCACCCCCAGGGCGTAACTTCCGTCCCTCAGCAATTCAGCAACACCTTGAGCTAATTTGTAACAGCAGATGCAGTTACAGTTCTTTTCGGCAGGTGGTGTGAAGAAACCACCTATGAACTACGCTGCCGGTGCTCCGAGATCCTATATTGAAAAAATGCGGAAAATACAATTGTTCTCGCACTTTCATTGAAAAAGGACTGAATGATTTTATATTCATGCAGCACTGCTTGCCTGAAATGCCGTCTTTGACTATTAAAGAAGCCTTGGGCACGAACATTTTCTGCTCAAATCCTGCTCCTATTTCTATCCAAGGTCAAGCTCCTACTTCCTTAGGAAAGACTCAAAAAAAATAAAAAAATGGTGAGCAAATCCCCGGCCTAGAGACCTCGCACGAATTCACAGGATACGCCCCAGGACGCCTTGGTGCAACGCAGTGCTTGTTAGCTGCGTGTCAGCACGGCACTTCGGGGAGACCTGCACCAAACCGCGACTACGCCCCTCCGCCGCCCCCCTCACGACTCCATCTCGCTGCCTCCCCCTTGCCCCACGGCGGCAGCTCCCCCGCGGCTGGGCTGGGCTGAACGGCCCGGCCCGGCCTTGCCTCCCCGTCCCGCCCGGCCGCCCCCACCTTGTCGCCGCTCGGGCTCAGCTGCTCGTAACCGCCCGCCATGGCCGGGCCGCCCCGCACACATTGGGCGGGGACAGGGCGGGCGCTGCCACCTCCGCCCCTGCTCGGGGCTTCAAGGCTTGGCCGATCGGAAGGCGGGGCGGGGACCATGGATTGCAGTGCCAGGTTGTTGGGTAGTATGGCTGACAACATGACTTTAACATTTTGAGCTGTTTGTATAGAAGCAAAGTACAGAAGAGTACACTATCCCCCAGGGCAACGTATAAACTACCTGTTGCTTCTCAGGTTTAAAAGTTAAAAGGTGTAAGCAGCTGTTTGAGTACAATACTGACATATATACATGAACAGTTTCCTCTCCAATGTCCAAGTTGGTGCGCAACATTTTTCATCGTGCTCTCAGATCAGGATTCTGATTCTAACAATGGTTCCTAGTGCAAACTTCCAGAGAAGAGGGAAGCAAACCTGTCCCGACTGCTTTGAATGAGATGGAGAGAGCAAGCAAACGTAAATGAAGAAGATAAACCTGTAGGAATGTTTTCAGATAATTGCCACTGTCCAAAAGCTTTAAAGTGGTTGAATCCTTGAAAGTTCATTCCTGAAAACTCTGGCTGCATCACTGAATTTGAAGGAGTAAGATAGACTTGCACCATCGCAGAGCCTCACTCACAGTTTAAATGGACACTGCCTCTAACTTCACAAGAATGAAAAAGGTCATCTTTCTACCTTGTCAGCTACTGGCAGACCTAGAGAAAGGAAAAAACAAGAGTTGTTAACATTAAGATGTAATTATTTTTTTTTTAGGACTTCTCGCCAAAGGTGTAATATTGAGTAGAAAACTGACAACAAATGAAAGGGAAGATGAAAGAGTAGAAGGTACTTGCATGGCCTTAATTTACGTGGCAATTGACAACAACCACAATCCGCAATGATTTCTAAGTGCCTTACACCATTGACCCTTGAGGCACAAAAACGGGATTCCCATATTAGGTAAGGGGAGTACAATCCCTCTCAAAACACAAGAGTCTGGGGTACACGACTGAGTACTGGAAATCTTAAGACTACGATGTTCACATACCAGAAAGGAAACTCACATTTTAGCACTAAACAACTATCTGTAGAGACAGGCTGGGAACCGGTTCTTGTTAACCCAGGGTGCGTTTCAGCATCTTCAAAGCTAAAGAAATGGTTGACTGCTCTGTTGAATTGTGTTCCAGGCAGAAAGACTCACGTTCCTATTAACATAAAGAGCTTAATACCTTGTGTAATAAATAGCTCAGTCTTCAAAATAGGACTATAATCAAAGTTTACAATTTATTAAAGGAATAGAGGTAAGCAAACCGCGCTGGGTGCAGCGGGAGTCTCTGCTCCACCAAGACGCACACCAGTTACATCAAGCAGCTGATTTTTATGCTCCTAGGCTAATACATATTCATTACTACTTCTAAAAAAAACAGGGTTATTATAATTAGATTCCGGAATCCAAACCCTCCTACTGGAGCATGCGTATCAGTCTCCGGTGGTCCCTCTGGGGGTCTCTCGTGCTGAAGGCTCCTAGTCTTCCTCCCTCTTGTCCAACTTGGCTGTATGTCAGAGACTTGTGCAACACCCCCTGCAAGCTTTGTCTTTTAGTTGTTCTTCAGCTCTCCCCGTCTCCTTAATCTCCTGCCCAGATATCAGAGACTTGCATAGTGTCCCACGCAATAGTCATCATAGTTAGCAGTTATTCTGAAACCCCCCAGATACCAGAGACTTCAAGGAAAAGTCTACAAATACATTTCCCTTCAACTCTCTATTGACACGAATTGCTAAAACATTCCTTTGCAAGATACAAGAACTATATACATTAACCACTCTGTTTTTCTAAGACTTGTGGTTATACAAGGGTATGTAAGACAGAAGGTCACATTCATCATACAATGCGGCCCTAGCATTGTTCCATACTGACACAAGTCAGGTGAGCATATCTCACACTTGCTTCCGTCCTAAAGATGAGTTTTGGATTCAAATGTACCCCCTCCAAGATGAACAACTACCTTAACTTTGTGGGGTTGATATTCTGCATAAGACATTTGTAATGTCAAGCTTCACAGCTTCTCCTCTGGATGCAGGAAAGAGGTTACAGATGTATAAAAGGGCAAGACATCTTCTGTGTGGTGATTTTACCGTGCTGGGCAGCTAAACCCCACAAATGCTCTTTCACTCCCCCTCCTTTAGATGAGGAGGGGGAGAAGTAAAGCAAAGAACAACTCACGGGTTGAGATAAGGATAATTTAATTAAAGGGAAATTATAATAACAATTAAATAAAGATTATTATGAACTAAACTATTTAACTAAAGGGAAATAAAAAGGGAAAGGGGAAAAGAGAGGGGGAAAGGGAAAAAATAAAAAGGGAGGAAAACAAATAAAATAAATGAAGGCTATATGGAAGTGCAGAGGAAAGAAATTGCTCTCTACTTCCCACAAATGAGCGATGATTGACCGCGTCCTTGAAGCAGGGCCTCAACGCACGCAGCCGGTGTTCGAGAGGAGGACCAACGTCTTCTCAACAAGAGCCCACCACTCCCCTCTTCTTCCTGTTTCCACCTTTTATTGCTGAGTGTGACATCACATGGTATGGAATATCCCTTTGATTGGTTTAGGTCAGCTGCCCTAGTGATGTTTCTCTCCTCACTTTTTGCCCACCCCCTAGGAGGGTTAGAGAAAGGCCCGATGCTGTGCCACTGCTGCTCAGCAGTAGACACAGAATCACAGAATCACAGAATCACAGAATTTCTAGGTACACGACACTGGTGTGATAACACTGCTGTTCCAGCTACAAGTACAGAGTACGGCACTGTATGGGCTGCTGCCGGGAAAGTTAACATTCCAGCCAGACCCAGAGAAGCGCCACAATTCTGCGCCACAATTCACAGAGTCACAGAATCACAGAATTTCTAGGTTGGAAGAGACCTCAAGATCATTGAGTCTAACCTCTGACCTAACACTAACAGTCCCTGCTAAACCATATCCCTAAGCTCTACGTCTAAACATCTTTTAAAGACCTCCAGGGATGGTGACTCCACCACTTCCCTGGGCAGCCTGTTCCAATGCCTAACAACCCTTTCAGTAAAGAAGTTCTTCCTAACATCCAACCTAAACCTCCCCTGGCGCATGAGCCCATTCCCCTCATCCTGTCACCAGGCACGTGGGAGAATAGACCAACCCCCACCTTGCTACAGCCTCCTTTAAGGTACCTGTAGAGAGCGATAAGGTCACCCCTGAGCCTCCTTTTCTCCAGGCTGAACAAGCCCAGCTCCCTCAGCCGCTCCTCGTAGGACTTGTTCTCCAGATCACTCGCCAGCTTCGTCCCCCTTCTCTGGACCCGCTCAAGCACCTCCATGTCCTTCTTGTAGCGAAGGGCACAAAGCTGAACACAGTACTCGAGGTGCGGCCTCACCAGAGCCGAGTACAGGGGGACGATCACCTCCCTAGCCCTGCTGGTCACAGTGTTTCTGATACAAGCCAGGATGCCGTTGGCCTTCTTGGCCACCTGAGCACACTGCTGGCTCATATTCAGCCGACTATCCACCATCACTCCCAGGTCCTTCTCTGCCTGGCAGCTCTCCAACCACTCATCTCCCAGCCTGTAGCTCTGCTTGGGGTTATTGCATCCCGGGTGCAGGACCCAACACTTGGCCTTGTTGAACTTCATGCAGTTGACCTCAACACAGTACTTGGGCTGCGGCCTCACCAGAGCCAAGTACAGGGGGACAATCGCTTCCTTAGTCCTGCTGGCCACGCTGTTTCTTATACGAGTCAGGATGCTGTTGGCCTTCTTGGCCACCTGAGCACACTGCTGGCTCATATTCAGTCGACTAGCCACCAGTACTCCCAGGTCCTTCTCTGCCAGGCAGCTTTCTAACCACTCAGATGGCTTTTCCAACCATCTTCAAACTTCCAGATCTAGAGGAACGCTTTGACTGCGGCCTGGTAAAATTATGGAGAAGATGATCCTTGAAGTTCTTGAAGAGCACCTGGGGGACAATGCAGTCATTGGTCCCAGCCAACATGGGTTCATGAGGGGTAGGTCCTGCCTAACAAATCTGAATTCCTTTTATGATAAGATCACCCATCTGGTTGATCAAGGGAAACCAGCTGACGTGATCTTTTTGGACTTGAGCAAAGCTTTTGACATGATTTCCTGTGGGATACTACTGGACAAAATGTCCAGCATACAATCTAACAAAAACATCATGCCAGGGGTGAGCAATTGGCTGACAGGCAGGGCTCAAGGGCTTGTGGTAAATGGGGCCACATCAGGCTGGCACATGGTCACTAGTGGGAACCCTC